AGCAAACAAGTCGTCTATTGCTAGAGCTTTGATTCAAAGATCAAAAAGGAATATTAACATTTGTGATGATACTTGAGGGAAATCGTATTATTGTCTCTAGGTCTCTTTGAAGGTTGGGGTAACCTGTATCTGATCTGTGTAACGGATAAATGACCCTGGGGTAATTGCCAGGAGGTTTGGGAAAAGGAGAGTTAGGCCGATTGTTTTCTCAGGCCGAAAGGCTGCAGGAAATGTATAAAAACCCTGGGACACGATCCTGCTTCATCTCAGATCTGCTTTGGGTTTCAAGAGGGGGAAACCCGGAGCCACAAGGATTGAGATCCCCAGTCACTGACTGGAGTCACCCTGAACACGGACATTGGACTGTAACCTCTGGACTGTTTCTAAAAGGACTTTTGGCAACCACACGCTCATCTCTGCTGTGTCTGAACCTCAAGAATTGAATTCAAGTCTGTCTGTATATTGATCTTTGAACCAACACTCTCTCGCTTTTCTTTTCTAATAAATTTTAGCTTTAGTTAATAAGAATTGGCTGTAGCGTGTATTATGGGTAAGATCTACGTTATCATTGGACCTGGCTCTGGGGCTTGGTCCTTTGGGATTGGAAGAACCTTTTCTTTTATAGGATGAGTCACATCATCCTATCTGACAGGTGTGTCTGGCCACTGTAAGGGAACTGCGCTGTTTGGACTTCGGAGTAACCAGTGAGTCCTACAGAAGCTGGTTTGGTAAATCTCAGCGTTGGAAGATCCAGCGTTCGGGGTTTGTCTGTTTGATTGAGTGACCTCAGCTGCCTCGCACGGGCACCATTGTCACAGATGGGAATTCAAAGCAAGAGTCACAAGTGAAACAGCCACATGGACACGGTGTAAAAACACTGGCACAGCGGCTCAGACTCGACGTGAGAGGCTCAGAAACTGCCCCCCAGCGAGGCACAAACCCAAGTCAGGGCGAGGAAAGCCGCAGTGGGATCAGGCCGACCCAGAGCAGCCACTAGACACTGGACACTCACCGGGAAGACGTCTGACGGCCCCGAGAGGCAGGAAGCTGCCGGACGAGACGCGGGGGGAAGACAAGGCCCCATCAAGGACGTGGGTGACACATCGAGGGGTCGGGACAAATCAATGACTTGCCCAGGCTAGGAAGTGGCAGGACTGGTCCCTGCGGTATGTGGCTGAAAACAGCAGGTGCTGAGCGGACCGCGAACATGACGCTGGTTTGAACACAGCGCAGCACGGTTTGCTGGGGCTTTTGACAGGGAAATCTGCCTCCTGGATCAGGATTGGCCGGTCAGAAAAGCTCAGCCGGGGCCCCACACCATGGGGGAACCCGGTGGAGAACACGACCCCTCTGTTCTCCCGCCAAGCGCCTGGGCCAGTGGCCCACAATCACTGTCATGAAGTGGGGGGTTCTCTGGGTTTTGTCACTGGTTTGCACACCAAGGAGGTGGGACTCAGTGTCCCTAGTTTAACGAGGGGAGGGGAGAGGGAGTTCGTTGGGACACAGACCCGGAGAAGGAACTTGGGACCCCGGCCGACGGCCTGGAGAACGGAGACCCCAGCGACTGGTGACCGGGTGACCCGGAGTCGCAGCCGGTTCTGGCCAGTGGGGGGACAATGGGCTGCGGGGAGAGGACCCCGGTGACCGGACCAGCCGGTTCCAGCCCGAGGGGCCAGAGGACAGAAGAGGGGAGAGGGGCCCAGGCGACCCTGTTTCCCTGGAGAGAAGACAATGGACGGAGGGGGGCTTGGGGCCGGGGGTATCAGATGCCCAGCTGGGGAGCAGGGGGGCTCTGGGCTGGAGAGGGGGAGCAGGCAGAGCCCCCCTGGATGCAGGGAGACTGGGATGTGCTGGGCTGAGGGAGGCCAGGCCTGAGGCCGGAGAGGAGCGGGGAGATGGGGCGGGGGGCCCAGAGCGAGGGGACTCCCGGGTGGGGGGGCCCACAGCAGAGACAGACATGCTAAGGCTCAGAGAGGTGTGGCTCCAGGAGGTGGAGGGGCTTGACCCCTGGGAGAGAGGGGACCCCGAGAAGGGCTGTCGCACTGAAGGGGGTTCGCCCCAGGGACCGCACGGGGCCAGGAGTGGGCTCGACCTGGGAGTCCGTGACATGGTCCCAGCCCAGGAAAAGCGGCCGGCTGCTTAAGAATGGGCCGCAGGGACGTGCAGCTCCGAGCGCACAGCGCAGGCGGACTGGACCAAGCTCCAAGTCTGAGACGAGCCCAGAGTGGGCTGGGTGCAGAGACCGGCAGGGACGGGAGTCCGTGGGCTGGCTGGCCGCCCCCCAGGGATACAGTGGGGGAGTTAAAGGAGACATGGGGTCCCCCCCATCCACTCTCCTAGAATGTACCTGTACCCCCGATCCCTCTGCCCCAGGGCTCGTGTGAGACCTGCCGTCTCTAGCAGAGCCCTGGCATGGAACCCAGGCGTCCGGGCTCCTGCCCCCCGCCCCCCGAGAACCCAGGCGTCCGGGGCCCGCACTCACCCGCTCGAAGGTGTACTCGGCCACCTGGTGGAAGAGGCGGAGCAGGGCAGGCTCGCGGCTGTGGGCGTAGGCCATGAGAAACGCCACCATGGCCTCAGCATGGGGCCACCACAGCTTCATGCTCCACTCCAGCTGGGGGCCGACAAAGGGGGCTCAGATGGGTGGGGACCCAGCGGGGGGGGGGGAGAGGGGCCCTGGGGCGCCCCCTACCTGTGTGGGGCAGAGCCCGTCCACATCCTGGAAGGCAAAGAGCCCCCCGTGCTCGGGGTCCCAGCCCGCCTGGAACGGCCGCACCATGAACCCCTCGATGGCCTGAGCGGCCAGCGCCGCGTCTCCCTGCCGCTGGGCGTATCGGAGCAGGAACCAGCCGGCCTCAATCGCGTGGCCTGGGGGGGGCAGAGTCAGCTGCAGAACCCAGGCGTCCGGGTTCTCCCAGCCCCCCCCTCCACTGAACCAGGGAGAGAACCCAGGCGTCCTGCCACACACACACACACACCCCGCTCTAACCACCAGCCCCCACCCCCCCACCTCTGCAGAACCAGGGACAGGACCCAGGAGTCCGGGCTCACCCGGGTTCTGTTGTCTCCCCAGGCAGCCTGGCAGCTCCTTCCCGTCCTCCGCGACGTTCTCCAGCACGGCGCTGCCGTCCCTCTGGGGGGGCAATTCCAGGATGTGTATGCGGGGGCGGGGGGGGTGTTCAGGGGGAGGAGAAGATCCCAGGGGGTATGTGGGAGGCTTAGGAGACCTGCATTTGGGTTGGGTTGGGGTACAGCCCCCCAAACCTGCAGGTGGCGGAGGTGGTGCCGGGGTTTGGGGGAAGTCAGGGGGGTTCGGGGGCACAGGGGGGAAGTTGGGTTCGGGGGGTACAGGGGACTCAGCCCCCCCATACCTGCAGGTGGCGGAGGAGGTGCCGAGGTTTGGGGGAAGTCAGGGGGGTTTGGGGGCACAGGGGACTCAGCCCCCCATACCTGCAGGTGGCGGAGGAGGTGCTGGGCGCACCACCCCTCCAGCTCGGCCAGGGGCCCCCCGGCGCCGTCCCCCAGCTGCTCAGCCAGGCACAGCAGCATCATGGGCACGGCCAGCGGCTCGTGGGGCGTCGCGCCGGCCAGCAGGGGGCGTCCCAGCTCCGTCGGGTCCTCCCGCACCCAGCGCACGACCGCCTCCAGCAGCACCCGCGCCTCCCGCTGCCGGGGGACGGGCAGTGAGAACCCCGCCCCGCCCCTGCTCCGCCACCGCCCCCCCCCCCGCAGGGAGAGAACCCAGGCGTCCGGGAACCCGCCCCCAACCCCGCTCC